GCAGTGTGACACTGAAAACTCTGCAAACACTGGTGCACTTTCCTAACCAGTTACTGAATTCCTTACGCCAGGGGGATTCTTACTGGAGGAGAATAAGTCTTTTGTTCTTCAGCATTATTTTAACTCATGCTACATTTGGAAATACTTGTTCTTTTTCAAGGGACTAAACCCCTCAACTTTGCTGCTCCTGATCCCCAGCAGAGAATGGGGAGCTGTGGTGCAAGAGCTGGTTTCCCAGCAGCTGATGTGAATCTCCGCGAACCCTGCTGGGGAGCTGTGCTGGAGGAGCTGGTAGCACTGGGTTAAGCTGTCGCTTGGGCTCTGCGGACAAGGATAACTGGGCAGAAGTGTGAAATGCCAGGAGTGGATGCGATGCCAGCTTTGTATTTGAGAGCTTTGAGCTTCTCTGGTGAGGAGAGCGTGACCCACACACCGCAATTCTGCGGTGCCTCTGCCTGCACGGGGCAGCGGTTGCGAATGTGTTGTTACCCTGGCTGGGTCCAGAGAAGCAAATTCCCTCTTTGCGCTGAGCTGTGCTGCCTGGGGTGGTGTCCTGACACCAGGGAGAAATAAATCTGGTGGCCTGCCCCAAGGGTTTGGTTTGAAACTGGTAGCTCACTGTGATTGCCAACACCTGAATGGGATAACCAGTCAGGTACTGTGAAAGATGCTTCTCGCTTTTACTCCACGCTCTTTTCAGATACCTCTCAATAACTGACCGTAGCGTAAAATTTCAGCGAAACACGGGAGGGGAGAGTTTTTGCAGTTGCCGCTGCTGGAGTCTGTGCAGGGCTGTGTTCAGCTTGCCTCCGGCTGCCTGCTAGAGGTGCACTGCTGTGCTCGTGGCGCTTCCCGGTGGGAAATGTCTGTGTGGCTCTGTCCCCATCAATGTGTTGGTGACAGGAGGGTGTTCCTGTGCTGGGTACCAGCCTGAGAGCTTTGCACATGGCAGCAGTATCGGGATTATTTGGATGCTTGGAGCTGCAAGAGAGGTTCAAGCCCGGTAGGGAGTTGTGGCTCTCTGTCCCTCTCTCCTGAGCAAACCTTTCTGATGGTGAAATGGCTTTGGGGCAGCTTCTTTCTCTGCAGGGCAGCAAATTGTGCAGCTTTAAAGCAGCTGAGGATCTGGTCCCGAGAGCTCAGTGCCAGAGCATCTGTGTTACCTACGTGGTGGAAAACAATAACAATAAAAAAACCCCAACCCTATGTAGCAAGTAGCTAGGGGTAGCAATTGAAAAGCAGCTTCCTCCTTGAAAACAAAGCTAAAATATGTTTTTGAATTACTTTGTGCACATTAAAACACCTGAATTGTCACCTTGTAATTTTGTAAACACTCTAAATGTTCTTTCCTTTTTCCTATTCTACTGCTCCCATCTTTTAAATCTAGTGGGAAGGTGGTGTAGTACAAACTGTAATGCCTTCTTACCTTATTGCTGCCTTAACTAGGCATTTATTGCCCAATATACAATGAAGACTAGGT